TCCCTTCCAACCCAGACCAGTCTGGGATTCCGTGACCCCCCCAGGTCCTCTCTGCCTCTAATTTGTGGGAAGCGGGGGCTAAATGGGGATGGGGATGGAGCTGTTTCTCCTTCCCAGGCCCCTCCTGAATCAGGTCCCACAGCTCATTTCTGGTCTTGCCAGCCCGTGGCTGCACAAAGCAGGGATGTGACTCTCCAAAAACCTTTCCCTCTCAGGCCAAGCCTTCCACCTTCTATTTCCATCCTGGGCTCCTTTGGCACTTATTTTCCTATTGTCGCTGCAGCCAGCCGTCCCCCGTCCTCTTCCTCAGCCACCTCTGGTGTTTGTGGTTGTAATTCCCATCTTCTCAGCTGTCTCATGCTGTCTTTCACCCCACCAGATCAGCAAAGGTCCCAGATTTACCTGCGTGTTCCTGGCCACCGTGGTAGTGCCCACCGTCCACTTCTCCACCACCAGACTCAACTTTGGATCCTGCTTCATCTGCAGTGCTGGGATGCTCCCTGCTCATCAGACCCTTGTCATCACAAACAAGGCAGACAAGGATATGAGGTAGGTCTTCTCCATGCACTTCTTTGGCCCTTGCTTAGCATGTGCCTGCTCCACGTCCTCACGACCACTGTGGGTGAAATCCTGGAGATGCAGGGAGAGCAGACAGGAGAGCCCCAAGTAGCGCTGGTTGGTGTTGTCTGAGCACAAACAGCCTTGTGACACCTCTGCTCCTCTTTGCTGTGCTTTCTGCCAGTTTGAGCTGCTTGTTCACGAACACGGCGCACCTGGAGGTCAACTTCCCACCACGTGTCCTTCACCCAGGAGGGACAGTGAAAGTGCCCATCACTTTCTATCCGAGAGAGGTTGCATCTTATCGTGAGATCATCCCGTTTGAAATCAACGGTCTTTGCCAGCAGACCGTTGAGGTCCAAGGAAGAGGCGTAGAAATGAAGGTGAGATGAAATCCAAACCCTAAAACTCCAGGGAGCAGGCAGCCAGCATGGCTTTCTCTCTCATTTTCCTCATCTCTTCCCCAGCCTACCATGTTTTGGTTTTCTGCCATCCTTGTGGCAGAAAACCTTTTCTCCTTCTTTCCTTTCACTTTATATTAATCCCTTCTGCCTCAGGTTGATGTTGTGGATCCACAAGGGAAGGTGGTGGAGCTGGGAGCCCTCTCCATCGGACAGATGGTGAAGAAGATCATCACCATAGCAAACAACAGCGCTGCACCTGTCACTTTCAGTCTCAGCCTCAGGTCCACCATCCCAGAGCTGCAAGAAGCTGGGGTAAGGCCCCTTCCTTCACTGGAGAGCACTTTGGTGTGCCCACAGGGATGTCTGCAGGTAGCTATGAGCGACTCCAGGCAGGAGCTAGTAGCTAATGACAGTTGAATGCTGTCCTGTCCTCCCTGCTGGGACTGCTCTACCAGCAGAGAGTTGCCATGGGAATGCCTAACTGAGCTGGGTGTCAGGACTCCCCTCATAACCAGAAGTGAGAAGAAGGTACAACTCTCCTAACCTGTTTTAGACACCTATGTTGGGATGTGGCCATGGATATTAGATGTGGAAAGGTAATCATGAAAGACCAGGAGTTACAGCACTCTTGGAACTCATGTGAAATGACTTTGGAAGACTTAGTCTGGCTCACCATGGCCAGATGGACACGTCACAGAAAAACACCTTTGGTACCTAGGGATGTGCACCAGGGAATGAGTGGGATTGGGGCAGTGTTGGTGGGGAGAGAACAGGAATTGGAGGGCTCTTCTCTGACTCTAGGGATGGAGGATTCACAGCTTGGGTGCCAGATGAAGTAGTCTCCACTCTTTTCTTTGGGCAGGTTCTCTGCTTGAACCCTACCAAAAAACTAAGTCTGAACCCCAAAGGAGATACCTGTAAAGTGGAGGTGACCTTCTCTCCAAAGTGCCGCCTCCAGCCGTTCACTGGAGAAGTGATGTTGGAGTGCAACGGCCTGGTGCGCTCCCTTTTCATGGTGCGGGGCTCCTGCCAGGGCATCCACGTCAGTTTGGACCAGGAACACCTCAGCTTCGGAGCGGTGATGCAGCAGAGCTCCAGGTCGCAGCGCATCCTCATGCAGAACACGGGCGACATAGGAGTCATGTAAAGCAAAACTTGATCTTATTTGAGGGCTGAGAGCTTGGATGAGGGTTGGATGGAGCTGTAGCTTGCCCAGATAGTTCCCCTCTGCTTTTTTATCTCACTGGAGTGGGTCCAGTCAGGTCCTGGAAGTTATCAAGGGGTACACTCAAAGGCTTGTTTGCAGATGGGTGAGTCCCGCCCAGCCTGAAGCCTTATTGCCCGGTGGCTCTCAGCCTGAGAGCTGGTGGAAAAGCCCACAAGAGGGTTAGAAACAGCACCTTGCGCTCGCAGCCTCCCCGTTGCTAATCCTTCCTTCCTGTCCTTGTGCTTTCCTTGGCAAGGTTTAGTGGGACATTAAGAGCTTCAAGCTAGATTTCTCCATCAGCCCCGCAAAGGGTTACATCTCCCCGGGAAAGGATGTCCCCTTCATCATGACCTTCCACCCCTCTACGTTGAGCCACGCTATCCTGTACGAGGGCCTGCAGTGCTTCATCCAGGGCAGTGAGCCGCTCCGGCTTACGCTGGCAGGATGCTGCATGGAGACCCCTGTGACCAAAGAGGTAAGGGAAGCAGAGACAGGATGGGTCCTCTTCTTGCCCCACCATTTGTACCACATCTCTCCCGGGGCAGGGACTGGAGGACATTTCCATGCAGAGACTCACTCCTGCCTGTCACCCTGCCTGGGTATCCCAGAGAGCTGAGACAATCGCTGGGCAGAATTCCCAAAGCTTCTGAGCCCTGTGGTTGCCTTCCTCCCCTGTTGAAGGTGCTGCTCCTCCAGCCAGCAGCACCTCAGCTGTCCTGGCTCTGTGTTGCTGCACCCTTGGCATGGGGACACCCTGCAGGGCTCTTCTGAGACCCTCCCCACTGAGCCACCCAGCCTTGCACCCGCAGCCACACTCCCGTCAGGGCTGGGGAGGACATTCAGCACGAGGAGTGGGCAAGGCCTCTGCATCCAGCTCCTGGGGCACAGGGCTGTGGTGTGGAGGGCTCCTGGCCCTCACGGGCATTGCAGGAGGGTGCATCTGGTGAATGTTGGTTCTTGATCCCAAAAGAGAGCCCAGAGCTGCTCTTCAGCCTGCCCAGGAAGGGGCTGTGTGCCTGCAGGTCTTGTCCTGGCATGAGAAAGATATCCTTCCAGGACTTTCCATTTTCCTCTCTGCTCCTCTCTTGCAGACACTGACTTTCACATGCAACGTGCGTGAGGAGCAGAGCCAGACCATCCTCCTGTCCAACCCAAACAACGAGACCTGGACTGTGAAACCTGTCATTGAGGGGGAATACTGGAAGGGGCCTGAATTTTTCCATCTGGAGGCCAATCAACAAAAGCCCTACGAGATCACTTACAAGCCCCTGACCATGACCTCTGAGAAAAAGAAACATCAGGTATGTGAGCTGTGCCAGCACGCTGACTCTCATAGCATGACCCTTGTAGCTTACCCAGCTCTGGACAGGAGGTTGGATGAGATGACCTTCAGAGGTGCCCTATAAGCTGAAAGTATCCTGTGATCCTCTGTTGGAAGCTGCATTTCTTGGCGGCTAGAGGCCAGGTGTAAGGAAAGGAGGCTGAGGGGAGACCTCCTGGCTCTGTCCAAGTCCCTGAAAGAAGGGTGGAGAGAGGTGGGGGTGGGTCTGTTCAACCAAGGAACAAGGGACAGGACAAGAGGAAATGGCCTCAAGTTGCACCAAGGGCAGTTGAGATGGGATGTGAGGAAGAATTTCTTTGCTGAAAGGGTTCTGAGGCATTGGAAGGGGTTGCCCAGGGCAGTGGTGGAGCCCCCATCCCTGGAGGGATTGAAGAGTCGTGTAGACATAGTGCTGAGGGACATGGGTTAGTCAGGGACTTGTCAGTGTTGGGTTCATGACTGGACTCGATGATCTTAAAGGGCTTTTCCAATCGAGACAATTCTGGGATCCTGTGAAAGTTCAGGTGGGAAGTCTGAAATGACCACGAAATGTATTGGAGCAGCTAACCAGGACCGTCAGACAACCTTCAGCCAGGTTGTCCAGGAAATGAAATTTGCTCTGTGCAGCTCCTGGTCCCTGCCTGTGCAGCCCAGAGGGGCTCAGGGACCCCCGTGCTCAGCCCTGTGCGTTGCACGGGCTCCCCGAGCCCTGGCCATGACCACTTGCACCAGCACTGCTCTCCTGGGGTCCTCCTGCAGCGTGCAGGAAACAAGAGCCAGTTCTCAGTGTTCCCTCTGGCCACACGCAGTTGGGTAGAAAAATGACACAGAGATCTCTCTTGACATCACCTTCAGTAATCACAGAATCCCAGACTGGTTTGGG